TTTGTACCACTGTTTGGTCCACATCGACTGCATTTGTTCTCTAATCTGCATATGGAATAGTCTGAGTGATAGTGGATAGTGTGAACAAAATGTGTGATGGTATGATAATGTTATGTTGGCATCAGCTGGCATTTGAGTACATTACACTTCTGTAGGTTTATCATATGCAAGAAAGAAGTGCAGCAGCCCTAATAAAAACATTTATGTTAGTGTAATGTGTACAGGAGAATAGTTTTATTGTGTGAGAATGTTCATCTGTGTAATGGAAGTATTTCTTCCGTTTGTTTGGAAGCACTCCACATTTATTCAGGAAGCCTCAACTAATTGGCACTTGTCTTGCCTAAAATTCCAGAAGTAAAACTGCCTTCAACTACAAACCTTTTTTTTATGCATAAGTGTAAAAGTTAAATGTAATGCATTTTTTAACTTAAAAGAACCTGAGTTGCCACAATATTAAAAATACATTAAGCTCTTTGTTAGAAGTCAAAACTGCTCGCTTTATCTAGAGCACTGAGAAGAAAATTGTAACTAGAGTGTACATTTCTGTAACAGTATTTTCTGCTGTTGATCAGGCAAGCAAAGTTTGTAGAAAATGCTGCACATATCAGTATTTTTAGTCATTTTATCTCATTAGTTCTTGAGTACCATGAACTCTGACAAACACTGCTAAGGGTCAGAAAAGCATCTTAGACCTTCATAGTAATCTCCCTTGTGTTCACTTCCCTATGGGGATCTGGCCAATACACCCGAGTTCTTTGTTCCTAGACAGCTGATGTGAAATAATTGTCAGTTGAGTTATACTTCTGAGATGCAGTTCTGATAGTGTGAATGGTATGAGAGATTTCGAGAAAAAAATTCTAAAACAATATTGTGATAATATACACAGCTTTTCTGATTTTTCTTCATCAGTGGACTACTTTCTTTTCTAGTTGAATGTGCTGTTATCAACAGGAGGAAAATCCAGACATTTGATAAATATTGCCAATTGCTCCTAGGTATCCATGTTTTTACTACTTCACGTGAGGGCTTTCTCAATTATTGTGATTCAAAGTTTCTCATTTGTACATTGTAATGTTTTTTTCAATATATTTATTTTGAAGATCTTTTTAATGTTGTTTTTATGCATACACCTACTTTTTCTCTGAATCATCTTCTCTTTAAGCTATGTTAGATTGGAGAAAGTTTTATCCCACTGCTGTTTTTCCATATTCTGCCTTGACAGCTCTTGGGGAAAAGAGATAGATTTGGAGTACAACGTGGTCAAGTGGGAGATTAGTTTTTACATAGTTCTAATGTGTCCAACAAATAACCTGAACTTTGTTTGGATGCCATATAAAATAATCACTTGCTTTTGGTTAACATGATTCCAACAGTGCATGCCTGGACCATTACAGGATATAGAACTTAACATCTTTTTAAATTGATGCTGTAAAGAATTTCCATTGTTGGTGCTGAATGTATTCAGAATTAAGTAATTTGATCATAAAAAATGTTTTGTCAAACTGTGTATTAGCCAGGATTTTAGAAAAAAAAAAAAAAAGAAAAAGAGAAAAAGCCTGACAAATTCAGCTTTTTGCTGAATTTGGATATGAAAACATGCTTCTGAAAGTTGCAAAATTCCTTGTCAGAAGCAGTAAGCAGGGAAATTTAGGAATAGCAAGAGCAGGATTTTATCATCAGGAATTGAAGGAGTCCAAGTGAAATGGATAGTGCTAAGTATTCTGCTGTTGTGGAACTTCTCCTTTAAATACATCCAAACAAAACATGAGTCTCAGACTTGTTTTTTCTTTATAACCTGTGAGTATGTCTGCTGAATTATATATATTCCATTTCATAAGTTCTTTTTACAGAAGTAAAACTAAGGATAAACAGGTTTATTTCATATTGATGCTATTAGAGGATAGAGGAATAATAGTGAAATGTCTATGAGAGCTGTGCTTGGAAAACATGACATGCCTGGTTTTTGGTAATTACAATTTTTATTCATCTTCTAATAAATCTATTGCCTGTCTTTTCTTGCTCTTTGGGTCTGGTTTCCCTACTTCCTGAATTTTCTTCCACTGGCTTCCCATCATTATTCTCTTGTGCTTCAAAGATCAGGAGGGACACCTGTGGCTTATCCTTAACTCTTGACTCCTATCTTACTCTCTTGTGAATAAGAAAGGGATGTAAACATGATGTTTGTCTTAACTGTCAGTGCATTACACCCTGTCAGTTTCCTACATTTCTTACTTCATTACAACTCTTTCACATTGTTCCAAAACCTACACTTCTTTCAGATGTTTTGATAGTAATCACTTAGTGTTGCTCCTGCCTTCTCTCTTTATCTACCCATTTAGCTGTATTGTGATATAAAAATGATACATAGTAAGCATAAAACCAGAAGCTGAACGTTGTGTTTTCAGTTTTGCTGTTCAGGTTCTTCTTATTAGATCTACATTTTGCTTAGAAGGAAGGATTTTTTTTCATTTAACAGATAATGAATAGAAAAATCAAAGAACTCAGTTTTAGATCACACAAGTTACTGGTGGGGATAGGCATAGAAATACTTTTGATTAAGAACATGTAGGTGCACGATCTTTCATTCTGGTTTTTGTAGCTACAAATGGTCGTCTGTGATAGGATTCTTGTGTAGTTGGGTCTGAAAAGTAAGGAGTGTATAATCCATGATCATTTCCTAAAATACTGTTTTGTTGACCAACTTCTAGAACTTTAGACAGGAGTTGACCAGCAATAAGGATACACCTGAATTCCTTTCTGTGGCATTTGCCATGAAAAAAAAGAGTATTCTTTGTTGATTTTTGTTTTGCTTTTTTCTTTTCCCCAGTAATACCCTGCTGAATACCCAGAATGTAACCAGTATAGTGTATGCAAGTTTCACCGTACACTGGTTCACCCCTTGAGAAACACCAAGTTGTGTGGTTATGTCCAGGTTCCCCTAGAAAATGTTACCATGCATATTGTTTGTGCCATGAATGTAAACAAGAGCTGAACTTCAGCTATTTCCTCTTGGTTTTTTATTTTCAAGCATTTATTATTTCATCACTTGTGATCTATAGATCTTGTATATTTTTCTCTATGTATTTTGAAGAGAGAAAGATATAATTTCAGTTATATGCATTATCTCCAGACTAATTTCTGAGTCCTAAATCTTCAGAACGACTTGAGTAGCCACACTACCCACACTGGTAAGTAAAAGAATAAAACTGGTATTCTTCTGTGAAGGGCTTGCGTATAGCTGTCTCTTAAAACTTTTCCCCTCAATTCTGTGATATATAGCATTTTTTTATAATGTCCTGACTCCACGCAATTAAGATTTTGTAAGATTATCAGTATTTATTTTTAATAATTTTCTTTTTTCTAGTTCTCATTTTTTTCAAAGCAAAACTGGAAACATTATATTTGAAAATGGTTGTATTTGATCGTGTTATGCTTTCTGAGATTGATAGTATTTGTACCAGGATACTGGGCCAAGTGTTTTTGCACTAACTCATGTCTCTTTGTTTTCCAATAAGGATTTCTTTTTCCTCTTGAGGGTGTTTTAATCATTGTTGGTTGGTGGTTTTTTTTTTTCCTCTTGGTTAAATCTGTGTTCTAAAGGAGACTTTTTTTTTTTTTTTTAAATGTTTTTTTTCTTGGTCAGTGTACTGGAATTGCTTGGAGATTTACTCAGAGTTCCATCAAAACTATAGAGCTGATGTTTTTCTTCATAGTTCAAAATTATTACTATTCTAATGCAGTAAGACTAGCAAAGGAAAGCAACAGGTTTCATAAATGTTTCCAGTGTACTATACTATTACATATCCTATTAGAACTAAATATTTAGATAATGTGTTGTTTAGGTGCGTTATTTTCTTCCCAGTCTAGTGTAAGTAAAAAAGAAAAAAAAATGAAAATCTTGACTGTGTTTTGACTGTGACATTTTTAAGTTCTCGAAGTGGCAATCTAACTTTTACTGGAATGTCCTGGCCATCATAAGGCATAGTTAAATTTCCATGGCCCATTCAGTCTTTGGCTTCCTTGGTGGGACTTCACAAAGAAAAGGAGGAGTTGTTTGAAAGGTTTCACTTCGGTTGCGTGAGACTTAGTTTTGCATACACTGCGAAATAACCATCCGGTAACGGAAGCTCCATTCAGGCTTGACTCAGCAAGCAGAAGGATATGCGTAATGTCATTTTTATTGTCTTCATCCTTTCTACTTCAATTGACATGACACCAGTTGAATTTATCATTAGAAAAGGTTTATTTACTGGATTCAGCAATTCTGAAAAGAACTCTGGATGTAAATAAATGTTTTATTTTGTGTGCTTCTAGCAATACAAGGTGTTTTGAGCTTCTACCTCATTTGTTTCTTCTATCCTCTGCGTCATCTAGGAAAAAAATTATATAATAAAGGAAGAGTAATCAGGTAGGACATATGTGGGAGAAGTCATATATGTTGTATATTTAAAAGAAAAATCTGATATTGGTCTGGCATTAAAATTTTCTGGTTGGGCAGCATAATTTTTAACTGGGAAACTTGATAGCAGTGGCTAACATCTCTCGGACAGGGACAACTGGAATCTGTATTGCATTCTGTCAGGTATCAGTAATGATACTTGTCAGGCCTGATACTCCCAGTTACAGCATACTATGATCATATTATTTGTAGAATTTATAGTGGTTTTATTCTTCAGGTAGAATTTTAGGACTTCATTATTCTCTGTATACAGATCAGATAAGTAACATGTATTCATTCAGAAATAATAATGAATTTAGCATGCAGAATATATGCCAGGTTGGTAATATAATGAGAAAAAAGTTCAACAAGGGAAGGTTAAAATGACATGATAAATCACCATTTATTTCAGAAATTAGAGTCTGTGTCTTTGTCCTCTAGAGATGTCTCAGAGAGTCAAATTGATGTCTTGCATGTACTGCTAACTGATTGTGTGGAAATTTTTTTAAGTTCACTTTTTCTTTATTCTTCTGTCTTTTTTACCCATCTTCCTCCATTGTAGCAAATTAGACGGCCGGATGAAAGCAAAGGAGTTGCTAGTAGAGTTGGATCCCTCAAAGTAAATATGTTTCTAACATTTATTTTGCAAATTTTCTTCTATAGCCTACATTTTTCCTTTTCAAGGGGGAGGTGAGGGGAGGGAGGGAAGGGGCTTTTCCATTTCTCACCATCTCATCATTTTTATTTCAATACTCTTATTGCTGTTGGGTCACATTTTGTTTGTTTCTGTGCTACATATAGAACAACCTTGAAGGCCAAATAGTAAGCTTTGAATGTCTTGAAATACAAAACATCGACTTTCTTGAAGTGCCTATAATTTGATGATCATGATTAAACCACTTCTCTGATGTGCATTGTTTGTCACTTAACTGCCTGTTACATAGAGAAGTGACTTACTCATCTTCAGACTACTGCTTCCCATCTAAAACATAATATAACTTTTATAGTGCTTGCACTTCTTGCATTTAAATTCTGCAAAAGACCATTATAAGAAAGTTGAATATTTCATCCATATCTAGCCTTTAAATCAGAAAGAAACAGAGCAGATAAAGAGGAAGTGAGAGAGATTCATGTGAGACTAATAAGAATGGAGCCACTGTTTTTCTAAATAATTAGTCCCCTTTTCTGCCCTTTTGTTTGCATAAACAGACTCAAAACTTTAGAGCACTTATCAAGCAGATATCTAAATTATTACCTACCCATGTATAGTGTTACACTTTAATAAATGATTTAAGACACAGAGCATAATTTGTACCAGGATGCTGATCACATGCAGTCCAGGCCATTCTGTTAAGATTCCATCTCAACTGTTGCCTCTTTCAGCCACCCAATTTTCCACCTTTTTTCCACTTTATCTCCTTTTAGCACTTTCTAAAGCGCTAACTAATTCATTTTTCTTCTGCACTCTCTTTGCCTCTCCTGCCTTGTTTTTTGATCTTTTGTTTTGTTCTTGTATGCGTGTGTACTGCCTTTGTTCCAGGACAAGCCATCCTCTCTGTTCTCTAACACTGCTCTACTGCTGCTCTTTGTGAAAATGTTATTTCACTGAGCATAAAGAAGGGGAGGGGAAGGATTAATTATGCACCTCTTTCCAGTAATGACACCATTTAAATTGATCTCAGTATCGCAAGGAAGCCAGTTGCTCTTTGTTATACAAGTGATACCTAGCTGCATCTGTAGCATTCCTCACTGTCTGTGAGGCTTTATCTTTTCATCCTGTGTTTTGGGAAGAAGTTTTTGTTACAGTGTGAGAAGAGCCCTCTGTGAATGAGGCACTGCTTCACTCGTGGACGTTCAGTACCACTGAATGCACACAGGGGAAAAGACAAGACAGTGACAGTTTCTGTGCTGAGATTTGTGTATGTTCTTACTGCGACCTGTTCATCTTACTGGGTCATCGCATACACTTTTACATGCATAATGTGTATACATATGCAAAAAATGTAACTCATAAGGGATGAGATTCACCTCCTGTTTTATGAATGTTTATTGATACCTACTTCAGGATTCTTATTTCTGTACCTGACTGCTCAGGATTTAATTTTACTGCTCAAAATATGTATTCTGACACAAAATCTTACATAAATGTCCATAAAGTTGGATATCCTAACTGGGAATCCAAAATGTGAATGTATGCTCCTTTGAGATGAAAATACATTCTAGAACACTGCCTTAACAATAAACAAGCAAATAATCAGTGTAGCAGAGATCTAGATGCTTTAGAACAATCAGTCCCTTGATTTTTTTTCAGTGTTTTTCTTGTGCTGAAAAAAGATCCATTCTAATGAAGCAAAAATATCTTATTTCCAGTTTTGAAGTTTATCGAGCTTGCGTGTCTCTGTTGTTGAAATCGCTTTGATGTCTTGAAATATTTTGCCAGAGGCAGTGAGAAATGTGTTATCCTATGATTTTAAAACAAGGAACAAAAGAAAAAGAAAAGGAAAAAAACATGACCAGAGAACAGGTTGCTTTTTCAATTCATTTTCTGATGTTTACATGTAGCTCCATCGAAAGCTGGAGGAGCTCAGAGATCACCTAGAAGGCAATGTCAAAGGATGCTCTCTCCGAGCAAATGTACGATTTCACTCGGTGATCTGTTTTTTTAAAACTTCCGCTGGCTGGTAACACTAAATCTGATTGGTTTGTCCTCTCATGCCCATCTTTTGCCTTTCTCTCTCTTTCTCCCTTTGTGTTTTCTTTCTTTTCTAGCTGGGATTTCATTTTTAATGTGTTTGAGAAACCTTAATTGACAGAATATACTACTGCATTTTGATGAGTGCTAATCAGTCTGCTTGCCTTTAACACCAGTTAAAAATTCCCTTTCCAAAACTGAAATTAATGTTTCCTGAATATTAGGCTTAGTAATAAATAAAACAGATGCCCTTAGTTATAGGAGAATGGTGTCTTCTGCCTGTGATTGATAGTCTTAGATGCACTTAGGTAAATCAGAAGTATATATGCTCATATTTGCCTCTGATTTTTTTGGAGTCCCTACATCATCCTGCAAAATATGTTAATATTTGGTCGAATGCAGGCTACACAAATTTGGTTGTTTTATTACTTTATTTAGACTCCCCTAATACAAAAACTAATGTTTCATACATCTTATTTGTTGCATTTCTTCTTTAATAAATGAAGTAACATGAAAGAGAATTGGGATCTCTCCTAACAGTAATGACACCCCTGTAAGGTTAACCATTTTTCACAGAATCTTTAAAAATCTGAGCCAAATCCAGCATGACAGTGTAGGCAATAAGTACCCTGTTGACAGGCGTTTCACCTCACACATGAAGATCAGCCTTTCAGCAATTAATTTTATGGAAGACAAAGTTTAAGCCGCATAATTTGATGTACAAGGAAAATCAGAAAAAAAGGGACAGTTATGAGCATAACAGATGTAAAAGATGTCAAAAGCCACTTATTTCTTTGAACATCCATCCAGTGACAATTGTTAGAAGTTTCTTCAGATTCATGTCCCGTTTGTGTCTTCCATACGCTATGACTGTTGTCGTTATTGTCAGCATTACCATTCTAATGCATAATCCACTATGGTTATACAGCAACAGATGATTTCGATAATGATAATAATTTGGTAATTTCTATCCCTTCTGGATGACTTTGCATACCAGCTATGTATCTGACATAAAGTTGATCTCCGCCTGTTGTCAAATTGAAATCCCTGGGCTTGTAATCTTTTGCAGTTCAAATACAGGGAAACCAAGCTGCTAACATATTGCAGCATTCCACAAAGTAAATTTTGTGAAAGCACTGTATGTTGTCTCTGACAGTTCTTTAGGAATCACGTTTTTGAGAGAATAAAGAGTGATATTTCAGGTTTGGTTACATGCTAAATTTCTTAGTGTTAATCAAACAGAGCAATTGTCATTCTTAAATTTATGATTTAGTACTAGTGAATAAATGTAAAGCCAAGAAAAAAAAAAAGCCATGAAATGATGTACTATAAAAATGTTGTTATAATCACGCTTTATCCCATAGAATGTCACATTGAAAAATGTTTCGGATGAGAAACTGTGACCATGTCAACTATAGTTATTATGAGAACTAATTGACATTAAATTGTCTTCTTCCTTTGTGCCGTTTTATCTGTTATTACGTAGCAATACCCTACATAGTGTTATTAAGGAAGTGAGATCATGAGCTAAGATATTTTCCATACATTCTGCTTATGCCCTTTAAGTTTCTTAAAATTTAAATTGGATACATTGCAAGTATAATAACATATAATTAAAATCTATTGCTTTTTCACTGCCATTGTGATTCATGTTGTTCAATGGGTATTTTAAATAAGTCAGCATTTTAAAAGGCAGTATACAAATGACTGGTCAATAATAAGGAAGTCCTTAGTAAACAGCGGACAGTTGGAAGGAAAATGAGAGACCTGTTAATACTTCATGATAATGATTATTTTTCATGTCTTTCATAGTGGTTTTGGAAAGGGGTTTAGATGGAAGTCCTAGGAAAGTTTACCCTACAAGGTAGCAAATGTATTAAATTGTGTGGGAGAGGGAACATATAGTATCTGATGGCCAGCACACAGATGAAAATTGAATGCTGTTGCACATTACTATATGCTGTTAAGGTGGAACCTTTGTTTCAGAATGAATTGCAAAGAATTTTCCCACTTCAAAGGCATAGGTCATTGGAAATATTTAGAAATATCCCATATTCCACCAGAAGTACAAAAAGACAGCCAGGTACTTAAAATAATGTTGAACTGAATACTTGCATGAAAATTTGAGTTAATTAAGCAGTTTTGAGGGTTTGAGGGCTTATAATTTTGTAAAACTACCAATATCAGCACTAGTTCATAAATATTTGCATAAAGGTTACCTGAATTGCCTTTCCATTTCGAGTTCTTCATTCACCTAACCTTTGGCTGTTCCAGTTGAACCTTTGAACCTCCCAGAGACCCGTGTTTGAAGCTGAACTTAGGCATTGTTTAGAAAAGTTAGTGTTCTGTCACATGGCAACAAAACGTAACAGAATATTGGTGGGAAAGATAAACTTCTACTGCCATACCACTGACATCCACCTCTGATGATGTGGGCCAACATCGTAAAATAGGAAGCACTATTTTCAGGACAGCCCTCATATTTTAAATCCAGGTTTTAATTCTGGAGAAATACATTATGGAAATCCAATCAGGAAAAAAATAAATCTAAATCTAAATGCAGATTCTTGACCATCATCTTTCCAAATCAAAGATTCTGTTTTTGACCATGAAAAATGCTCTCAGAATTCACAGCAGGAGCCAAATTTTGTCCATAGATGATATTTAGTGAAACCTGGGTCATCATTTCTCAGAATTGTGTCTCACAAAATATACAATTTACTGCATGTTTTGTTCTTACTTTACTTACTTTACTTACTTTTGTTCTTACTTTAAGTACCTGCCTTCTTTGATCATGATGAAGAATTGCATTTATGGGGCTTTTGTTCCAGGTCATAATATTCAATTATTAAAGATCTGAGTCAAGGCCTTCAGACAAATAACAGATTGCTCTTGCAGCCTTTGAACCGGATTCTCAGTTGGTGTACATGAGCATAGCTCTTTTAAAAGTAATTATCACAGCAGGGGAATTTCTGTGACTGGCATTAATTCTGTCCCCCTTAGCTTAGATATTTGCAGCTCAAATTACAATTCGCCTCTATTAAACTGGAACCAAGAAAGAAAGGAATGATTTGAAGTGATTAAATATTAAGAGAAATAAGATCTAAGTTAAATGTTAAGATTTAAATAGATATTAATTAAAACATGATTAATTAGATCACAGACTAATAGCAGCGTCCACATAGTAAATGTCCAAAAGAAAATAAGAAATGTAGGAAAGTACTTTGCATGCTCCTTTTAAATTAGTGTGAGGAATAGGTAAAATTAGCCAAATTCTTCCAAATTAAAAAAAAATAGTAATTCTATAGCTCATATCATTGCTGGTTTCTTTTATTTAGTTGCTGATACTTAAAAAATGGTGCTGTGTTCTTTCTTGCTGTTACTGCATTCTTTGAATCCTCACCTTCAAAACTGAGACTAAGGGATTTTCTTTTGCCATGCTATTGTAAGACAAAACAAGGGATCAATGGGTGGACATTACTGATGAGAATCTTGCTTAGGGAATCTTCCAAAAATCTTAGGTGAACAGCAGAGCCCCTGTTCTTAGCAAAAGTGTACCTTACATTTCCTAGGAAGCTCTCAGTGTCTAGAAACAGATTTTGTATTTGTTTGAAAGGGGTTCTCTTTTTCTTCTCGGTTTTTGTTTCTTTGTTTGTTTTTTCTGAAGTAATTTTCTAGTTGTCACTTAATCCCCAAAACCATCTCACGATACCATATTTTGATTTAAAAAAATTTAAAAAAAGAACAAGTGAAGAAAGCTCTGAGAACGTACAGACGTTTAAGATGTCAAAGTCACTCATTTCATTAGTAATACTGTCTAGTCAGAGCAAATGAAATATGTACAGAATACTGGAAAGGACCAAAAATATTTGCAGTGAGAGAACTAAAAAACAGTCACTGAAGGAGGAACAACTGTAGATAAAGCATGTAATGAGGACTGCTGTGAATGTGAAATTTTCCTGAAAGTGGTATTTTACATTTCAGTGAAGAATTATGGAATACACATTTGAGATTGAAAAATGTTCATGGCTGACTTTTTACGAATGTTATTTTTCTCTTCTCAGTCAATAATAATACTCAATAGCATTACTCAAGTCGGTGGTAATACTCAAGTCAGCAATTTCTGTGAAAGTTCTTGCTGGGTTGTTTACTGTAAATGTACCTGAAGTGCTGCACAAATAGCAGTTTTGTTGAAGTCTAAGAAAGGTTTTCAGGAACTTCTGATAATTCTTTTTTTTTACCTTTGAAAAAAATCAAGAGGAGATTTTTAATGCATTTGTAGGATCGTGTCTTTTTCAATTTCATTTATTAGCTTGTTTTAGTGCTCACAGCTAATTGTGATCAGACCATTAATCTAACAAAAGTTAAGGAAAAAGAAAAATCTTACCTTAGTAAAATAAATCCATAAATTGGATGCTTTTTAAAATTTATTTCTGATCTAGAAGTGAGTTATTGGTATTGAAAAATGAATATTTTGTATAAGCAAAGCATTCCCAAAGCAATCAGTTAAACTGATTGTAGTCTTTCCACTTTCCTTGTGTCTGTGTGGAAAGCTTTTGACAGGAAGTGCTGTCCCTCAAGAGTCGCAAGTGTTAATATTGCTGAAGAGACATAATCTGCAGATTTCTGCTGACCTATATCTGACAGTTAATCATTTAGCTTTGCAATTTATTCTGGTTTTTTGTGGGACTGAGGTTGAAGAAAAACCCCTATTGCCAAAGATCTCATTCTGAGCAAGTAAAAATGTAGAGGAATACAGGGAAGAAAAAGGTCTCTCATATTTTCACATTTCTCCTTTGTAGAGTTGGAATAAAACCAATGGTGTCAAATGGAAGAGGCTGATAAAGCTTCATTTTAGAATACCTTGCTGTCCAAAGGATAGCTTTCTCTTCACGTTATGAATTAGATGGAGGAGAGAGACAATTCAGATTCTTCTTTAGGCTTAATTATTTCATAAATGCAGAATCTTTTATTTTTTTCCTTTTAAGAAGCTTCCACCTTAAAAGGCATAAATTTGGAGTTTCTGAAATAGCTGGTCACAGAAATTTAATGAACCCTCTGCTACTATCTCAGTGCTGGAACCACCTATACAGAAAACCTTCTAAGACCCTGACTGTGCCACCATTTCTTTTTTAACAATGTTTTCTTTTCCCCACTGCACAACCAGGCTCGGCTCCCTTCGTGCTCATCCACCTATAGTGTTTCTGAGGTATACTTTGCACGTGTTCTCTCACACAGTCGACCTGCTCTGCCATCACACTTCTTTGGTTTTATTTAGTTTTTCTTTTTTTGCATTGCACTGTGCACAAGTGGGGAAAAATCAGCTTGCGGGGGCAGAAATTGCATGATCAACCTGCAGCCATGTTCAGCGTGGTTTTAAAATCACTGTACCAGTCTGGGACCACCATGATATATAGTCAAGCTAGGCAACTAATACACAGCATACAAACAGAAATGATATAATTAAAGCATCCTTATTTATCTCTTACATTAAAATGATAATGCTTTCATAATAGTCTTACAGATGTCCAGACCGCAAGGAGCAATGAAAGTGGAGGGGCTCTGTAGAAATGACCATTATAATATAGTTAGTTATTTGTCTAAATGTAGATTGCCTGGAAGTATCTGAAGTGTATTGTTTCCAAAAACTCTGTCTTCGTCCACTGCCTTCTCAAAATGCACGTCTTCTAAAAGCTTCCATATCAACTTCACTATAGCCTTCTGTAATAAAAGGCATAGACCAACTTAGCAAGATTTTAAAAGAAGCATCTAATTGTAGTTAGGATGAAAAAATATAGAGATTATCTAAGACTGGCTTTTCACTCCTTTTCAAGGGAAAGATACTAATCATAGGATGAAGTCAGAATTTATAAAATATTGTCAAATTAGTGCTGTGACCAACTCTGTAAGGATTCGGCTTCAACTTATAAGTGAATAGTGGATGAGTATCAAAAAAGGTTGACTTGAGGTTTTCAGTAATATTAAAGTAATCCTGAACACATGGAGTTCATTCATTTTGTATTTTAAAAGAGTCCATTAAAGTTGACAAGATCTCTTAAAAAGAGTACGGTTCACCCTAACTCATACTGTTGGACAAGTTCAGGACCTGATATTAATGTTCTGTTGATGGGTATCTTACAAAAAGGAGCTCACCTACTCCTGAGCAGGAGTGCATCCTAATCAAGATAAGCTGTGTGTAAGCAGTACCTTGCTGATACACATCTGATTTATTCTGTTCTCTACAGATCTGACTTCTCAAGCAGTAACTCCTAGTAATAACCTTTATCCTTATTATTAAAAAGTTGTTTTCTAGTTTCAGTGAATGACCAGACAAAATATTAAGTTTTTAAGAAGAAAGATGCTTAATGTTTTTTCTTTAGTAGACAAATTATTGCAGTCTGGCTTCAACAGCAGACAAACTGTTTTAAGGAGATCAAATATCGGTTCTTAAAAGCACCCGATACATATTCAGCAATTTGAGCCTCATTAACATTTTCAATGAAAGCCTTGCTTTTTGATCATGATTAACATCAAAACAGCAATGTGGAATATATTAATGCTATTCACATGTAGCAACGCAGGGAGCAAGAAATGAAATTTAGTGCTTACAGATACAAGACAACTATCAACTCCACCTGACCAGTCATTCTTCTGAATGAATCAGTATGAATTAAAAAAAAAAAAGCTTGATGTTGCTTTGTTTCTGAAGATTCCCATTCTGATAGCTCTACTGCCATACTGGTCAGCATACACTGAGATAATGCAGGAAATGAGCCACTTCCAGAGAAACTGTGTTCTTGCTTTGCCTGCAGCTTCAAAGCCATTTGTCCTTTTCGGCTCTGAAGGCAGGCCTCTGAAATCCAAGCCAACGCATTTTCTTTAGTGCTGGTCAGTATGTGTTAGCTGTCCTGCTTGATCAGATCCCACAAACTATTTTGCCTTCTCCAAAGCTGTTAGACTGCATTACTGATTAGTCATTTTGGAATAGTTCAATTCTGCCTCAACTGAAAAAGGGAATTGTAATATAAGGTGTACAAAAGCTTAGTGAACGCTGTTCACAAAGCAAATCTTCTGTGATTTGTAATATGGAGTCTGCTAGCTGAAGTATCAAGGTGGTACTGTGAGAATGACAAGCAATTCATTCTTTATATTCTATTTAAAGGGAAGATATGAATATCTAAAAAACAATCTGGCAGTGCAGTAGATCTTGCGATGCAGTTAAATTTCCAGCTGATCAGTTCATGCTTATAAAACACATGAGTAAGACATCAACTGCCTTCTTTTAAGTTGAAGGTGCAAGAAAACATGAATATATTCTTATCTGGTGGCAAAATAACACCGTATGCATTTTGGAACAGTCTGTTAGAGCTGATCACAGATCCATAAAAACAAATTGGTTGAAGCTGAAGATCTCTTACAGATGTAGCTACTTGAAGATATAAGAAGGCAAGACAATCTGTTTTTCTGAAAGAGACGTCGTAGATTCATCTTAAGAAATTTGCTTGTAGTTCTAGTTTTTGAGAAAAGCTCTGGAATTGGATGCACTGGTAATTCTAGAACTGAGGTAGCCAAAAAGGAAAGTAAGTTTTACTATGAGGGAATTTGTTATGCTGTTACTTACAAGATCTTTAATTGAAGAAATAGAAGATCTTCCATCAAAAGACGAAGTTGGGATCTGTGAAGAATTTGAGGTAGAATTTGCACCCTGATTTTCTTCACTGAAATATCCTTGTAAAAGCCATTTTTCATCTCAGAGCCCAATAATTAGAAAAGCATCTTTTTATACTGGTTCTTTTTTACACTGGAAAACTGTGGATGTGATCAACTGATGTTAATTTGAAAGGAATGGACAGAAAGGTTTTTTAAAAATTTATGCCTACCTTTAGTAACATAAAGTTTTCCACGCTTTGCCGAACTCTAGACGTTACAGAAGAGTAGTACTAACCACCTCCTTACTCTCAGTAAGAACCTTAACAATTCCACTTAAATAGAATGCGTTGTTGTCTCTGATTTTAGTTAATCAAGGCAAAGTGAATTTCTTTAAAAAGAGATTCTGATTTTGCAAGAGAAGTAGAGCTTTAATGCTCTCAAATTGTGTAATGGTATAATTCATATTCCCTTTGAAGTTCACAAGATGCAATAGTTTTTCCCTCCTTTCCCGAAAATCAGTTAGCTTCATGCTGGTAATTTTTGTGTTACCAGTTGTACTTAAATGATCCTTCTAAAAGTGGAAGTATTAATTAGGAACGGTGCCAAATTAGCAGTTGTACAGTGTAATATGCGTATTATGTATCTCTAACTTACTCCTTATCCAGTTGTTACAAAACACAATGTATTTTATTTAAATACCAGGAGTTCACTTAAGAAGTGAATTAGATCAGATCAGTGTTACCTACATTTTTAGATGTACTTGGAGTTCAGCTTCTTTCTTAAAAATACTGTTCGTAAAAATGTAAAACTGACTGACCAGTCCCAGAAGGTCTGTAGCCGGCGGATTTATGAAATTACACATAGGTACTACAATGCGGTAGCCCCATTTTTTATATTTATTTGTATCTCAGACTTTTTATTACCAGCATCAATCTCTCTCTTTCTTTCTCTCCCGCTCCTTTGGCTTCTGCATGTGCTGTGTGTTTGGCTAAAAGCTTGATGAAGGAAACCTATTGATCTGTTGGTTGAAAGTAGAGTGGCAGTGAAATGCTATTGAAGAGCTATCCCCTTTTTTCTCTTAAAAAGAGAGAAAAAAAAAGAAAAATAATAAGAAAAAAAGAATGATTTGCGAAGGGGACACTATCTGTTTTATTTAGGCTTATTGAATGGCTTGTGTTACAAAAGATCAGCAAATTTTTATGTTATTTGTCTCTCCAACAAGTTATTCTCTCTCCATACAAGTTATAAAATTATTTCCAGAAAAATAGTTTTGGAACGTGTATTGACTGTATAATGATTAATGGGATTCAATTGTATTCAAATCATTGTTAATTAAACAACAGAGATTTCTGTATCTTACTTGGTAATACAAGAACAAAGGCACCAATACACGGAATTAAGTACTCAAAGTATTCAGAGAAGAGGAGATTCTGTTTCCTGCAATACGTAGTTTATCTGTTGAGTTCACAACTTTAGAAGTCCATGCAAAGACTGCGGGAAGATTCTTAAGTTTCTAGATCAGAGTATTCTATACAGCATAGACTGCACAACTCTGTAAATAACTGAGTTTTGTTCTCTCCAGCTAAAGACAGATGAGAGTCTATTCCTTTCTAATTAGGCTCCATTGTAAAGAAGGCAGTGCTACTAGACTGGGAACTGCACTTCTGACTTTCAGGCATTAACCACCATCACAGAATCTAGAATTCAGTTTTAGGTAGAGGATTCTAAATATCTATTTTAATATTTGCACAAAATATTTATATGCTGCACTGCATTATAGGTTTGATGGAGATACCATTTTTATCTTAAGAGCAGTGGAGGCTACTTTTGGCAGTCAGATTCAAGCGCAACCATAAGGTGTGTGTGATAAGGCCAGCACTTCAAGTTTGCTGCCCAGATGCAAATTCTGCATCCAGCACATCTAGAAGGCTTTTCTGGCTCTCTTGCACCGAGGTTGTATGCCAGCTTCTTTGTGCTGGTTTAAGAATGTTACGACTCCTTATACTTTTAGTCCTTCTTTTGGATTGGTTTTCTTATTCATTTTTCAATAGTAATTCTCCCTGAATTGATAACTAATTAATAATATTTTTGAGTTAATTTATTCTGGAAACTACAGATTTCCAGCAGCAATTTGGCAGATAAAAAGTTCAGAAGAATACATTTATCTACAATAGTTAACTGTGCAATTGTCAAATAACTGAAAAGGTCTCCATTCAATTCATAGGCACCATAGAATGCTTAAATAACAGTTTGTTGCTTTTTTGATATAATTATGAATATACCCTAATTGAAAGGAAAATTCTAAATGAATATCCACCCAAAATGTCTGACACTCACATTTCAGGTCAATAAAATTCTGTTTCTCACGCTGTTTTTGAAAATTGTTAGAATAACAGGAAGAAAAATATGAAATAGTTCTAAGAAATAAAAATGCAATTGAAATGTCATAGATGGTCTTTAGGCTTTCGGTTATAGTAAGTAAATTATATGGTTTTGTTATTGGTTACTTTATTAGGTTGGTTTTGTATTCAGTGTTTATGCCCTTGTCTTATACTTTAT